CACGGCGACTCCCGTTGACAATGTGACGAAGTAATATTTCCCACGCCAGCGGCATTTTCTGCCACACAAAAAAACATTTCTCATCCTATTTTAACTCATTTGGCGCCAAGAAGCTCATTATAAAAAAGATTCTCAGTTCGGTTGAAATGATCTGTTATTCCTGAACTCATTGTGGTCCATCTCTAATTGTTACACTTGGCCATTCCGATAAGTGTTTACTTGTTACATTAGGCAGTTCTGCCCAGTGTTTACTTGTTACATACAGCAACTCTGCCCAGTGTTTACTTGTTACATTATGCAATTTTGCTCAGTGTTTACTTGTTACATTTATCAGTTCTGCCCAGTGTTTGCTTGTTACACTCGGCAATTCCGCACAGTGTTTACTTGTTACATTTAGCAGTTCTGCCCAGTGTTTACTTGTTACATTCAGCAATTCCGCACAGTGTTTACTTGTTACATTTAGCAATTCTGCTCAGTGTTTACTTGTTACATTCAGCAATTCTGCTCAGTGTTTACTTGTTACATTCAGCAATTCTGCTCAGTGTTTACTTGTTACCTCGGTATTTCTGTCCAGTGTTTACTTTAAAATTTGCACCTGTTCAATAAGATACCATTGGAAAGCCGCCCGCTTAACCATTGGAGACAATGTGAGACATGATACTATCCGTCAGATTTGTGAAACAACAGTATGCAGAACTGTTTTCAAGAAACAGAAGATGAAATGGTTTAATCATCTTGACAGAATGCAGCAAGAGTAACTACCAGCACGTCAGCTACACATAAAAAGATATAATGTGAAGACAAGAGGTCGCCCTAGGAGAATATGGATTGATGATATTAAAGAGCTTCTACATCTACACGAAAGGACAATAGCCATTGCTGCCCATCAAGCAGGGGATAATAAACTGTTCCTCCCCACGTCGCTTAACGGCAACAGTGAAAATTTATGTTTATTTTAAAACATCCTGTTTCGTAATACTACTGTTGCACCTTTTAGGATTCAGACGTTGATTACTTTAAGTAATACATTCTTAGGAAAAAAAAAAAGATTCTGTTGGTACCAAAAGAGTTAACCACCAATGACATTGTGTATCTTGATGCCACAAAGTGACACAGATGTCACAGTGTTCAGTCCTCCCTATTTTTGCCTGTCACAATAGAGAAACAGTTTACAAATGCACCCAGTTAACCCAGTAATAAGCTCAACATTCCAGTCGTATTCCACGGAATAGAAGACCAAGTTCGAATGTGCATTAATTTTGTTAGAACCTACTGTAAACCTCAGTTTATACAGGACTTAAGAATGATGCTGCATGAGTAATTCTAGATTGCATCTTTGCGATCTTTAAAAAACACTACCATTGAAATATTCATATATTTGACACATTATAAACTGACCACATCAGGTGGTTGATATAACTGAGACAATGTATCATTTGTGAATACAATCTTCCCAATTATAAATATTTAATTAAATCAAAATTTTCCTGTAAATGTTTGTTAACAAAAATCAGGTTATATACAGTGCTAAGGAAACAGTATAAATACGATTACCATTTTCCGCCACAAATGTCAGATCCTTTTGCCTTTCAATTCCAATACTGACGTAATTTCAAACTAGTGAAACCATTGGTATCCATCAGAGAATCTAGCCAGGTCTATATTTCCAGGTGAGAACCGCATATTGCATGACACATTTTTAAGATAGACTGGTCATTTTCAGAAGCAGAGGCAGTGCATTGGCTATCATGTTTGACCCCCTGTAGAGTTGCTGGAAGCTCGAATTCCCTCAACTGTTGTCTTTACAAGTAGATCTGGGTTGTCCGGGCTAAACCTGAGTGCCATGAATGATCTCGGAAAGCTAGACTTTAGACGTACCGTCCTGTTTCACACCAGAGTTGGATTAGATGTAGAGCAAATGTTGATCAATGGAGAAGAGTCTGACTCGTAATCAAACGTACCGCGATCGAAACCCACTGCGGCTGCGTGGATTTTTATCGTGGTATTGGACGTCGCCGGTCGACCAAGCCTCAAATGGGTACCAGGATGGGCTGTTCTGGAAAAGTAAAGACGGCCGGCGTAATGCTGACCACATTACCAACCGAGTGCCTATTGGTCTGTAAAAATGTGGATGACCTTCCCATATGCCCGAAGCGCCTAAGGGCGTGTACAGGGATTTCTACTTTACTTACTTTTACAAAAGACAGTCGGTGTAATACTGACCCCATCATCCATTGAGCGGCTGTCATAAATAAAACACACGAGTCTGCTATAAACAGCTTAAATTCACTGAAGAGCGAAAACAGCATATGTACTTACTGACAACATGGAAAGGGGGGGGGGGGGGGGGGGGGGGGGAGGGGGGAAGGGGTTAGTGGCTGCTTTAATATTATAATGTCCCTTTAGTTACTGAGGCGCGACGCCGTGGCTTGGGCGTTGCGAGTCCGACTCGTAATTCCAACTAACTGGGATCGAAACCCACTACTGGCTGCGTTGATTTGATCATGGTATGGGGCGTCGCAGGTCGAACCTGCCAAACTTGGTACCAGGATGTATGTCCTGGAAAAGTAGGGACGGCCGGCTTAATGCTCACCACATTACCCACTTAGTGACGATTGGTCTGTAAAAATATGGGTGCTCTTCCCCTAAGGTGTGAAAAGGAATCTTTCGTTTTTTTTACTTAGTTACTGAGGCGAGTTTCTTGGGTATGACAGGAGACAATCTCAAAAATATCTCAAAGTAAAAAAAAAAAAAAAAAATTTACATTTAAAATCCTAAAAGTACAACTGTTGGCTGAAAACTAGAATGCACAGATAAGATAAGGGTTAACAAGCTAGAAGGCGTAACATATAAATAATAATATAAATATACACTTATATATATATATATATACACATACATACATACATACATACATATATATATATATATATATATATATATATATATATATATATATATATATATATATATATATATACATACTTTTAGATACATATATAAATACAAACATGTATTTGTTTGTGTGTGTGTGTGTTTAGTTTTATATTCAGTAGTTTTTTTTTCTTCTTCTGTTAGCCTGAAACAAATTGTCTATTTTAGCGATTTTGTCTCGTATATATTTCATTGTCATTTTTAGTTCGTTCAATGGTCCATAGAGTTTACGTTTAACTGTTGTTCTTTCTGGACAAAAGGATTTCCTCAATGTGCCATACACGGTGCAGTCCCGGAGTACCTGTTCCGCTGTTTGGGGCAACTTTCCACGTGTGTACTTGGCTGATACGCCTATTTAGTGTACAGATGAGTGCGAAATCGGTTGTGCCTTGTTCTGAGACACAGGATAACGACCTGTTCTCATCTGTTCATAACAGAGTAGTTGTCACGTGCTAGGACTGGTTGTTGACTGATCGTGCTAGGACTGGTTATTTACTGATCGTGCTAGGGCTGTTGGTTTACTGATCGTGCTAGGGCTGGTGATTTACTGATCGTGCTAGGGCTGGTGGTTTACTGATCGTGCTAGGGCTGGTGATTTACTGATCGTGCTAGGGCTGGTAATTTACTGATCGTGCTAGGGCTGGTGATTTACTGATCGTGCTAGGACTGGTGATTTACTGATCGTGCTAGGGCTGGTGATTTACTGATCGTGCTAGGACTGGTGATTTACTGATCGTGCTAGGGCTGGTGATTTACTGATCGTGCTAGGGCTGGTGGTTTACTGATCGTGCTAGGGCTGGTGGTTTACTGATCGTGCTAGGACTGGTTATTTACTGATCGTGCTAGGGCTGGTGGTTTACTGATCGTGCTAGGGCTAGTGGTTTACTGATCGTGCTAGGACTGGTTATTTACTGATCGTGCTAGGACTGGTTATTTACTGATCGTGCTAGGGCTGGTGGTTTACTGATCGTGCTAGGGCTGGTGGTTTACTGATCGTGCTAGGGCTAGTGGTTTACTGATCGTGCTAGGACTAGTGGTTTACTGATCGTGCTAGGGCTAGTGGTTTACTGATCGTGCTAGGACTGGTTATTTACTGATCGTGCTAGGGCTGGTGGTTACTGATCGTGCTAGGACTGGTGGTTTACTGATCGTGCTAGGACTGGTAGTTTTTCTGATCGATCAGTACTTTGCAATTTACTCCGAAACGGTCGGCTGTCTATGCCACTGTCGAAATCGAGGGTAGCGTAAAGCACTAAATTCCATTGCTCCGGTGACAACATCGGGTTATGAACTAACCTCGCCCCAATAGGGACGTACATTTTTAGTTATTTCAAAGCCCTACCCCGTCTGTAGTCGGTGGCCCTAATATAACCAAACGGTTGAACGGGGGTTTTCTGTGACTTGTACCCGGGTGATTCTCATCCGAATTGGGGCACTTTATGTCACCGGGTATTTACCGCTCGTTGTGAGGTTCTGATGGGTTTGAACCTCCCTCACTCGATATCACTGAGAATCGCCGAACTAAGATCTTAGGAGCAGGAAAGTGCTTTCCATCTCCGTCACCGAGAACTAGATAAGGCACATAATAAGTGAGCTTCAAATGAAAATCTTAAAAGTGTGATAGAAATTACAATGACCATATCATTGTCTTGTAACCTGTTAATACTGTTGTTAAGGATATCAAGAGTGTTAAGCACATAATACCACGGTGCAGACAAACATTGTGACAAACATGTGATAATATAATGAGAGTGTTCAGATGGTCGCCCCACTTTTGACATATACCAAAAGAAGCAGCATTCAGTTTTCCGTTTTTAAATCAATGAAGGGGTGAAACCTATAGTAATTCATCGACGAATGAAGGTCATGTATAGTGAGGCATGCCTGTCAGTCCAGCAACTGTATGATTATAATAGAATTCGTCACGTGTTTAACACTTTTGACATCTTTAACAAACCCAACGACACACAGTGTTACGGGACGATGACGCTAAATACACAGCTGTGATTTTTTTAAAAAATATTCTATTGTTATTACTTAGTATATATTTCTAATACAGTGCCAAGATGGAGTTCCTATTGCTGATTGCATCCATCATACTTACTGGGTTGTATCTATGGTTACGACGTCCTGACCCCAATCTGCCGCCATTTCCGAAGAGACCGCTTCCATTGGTGGGCAACTTGTTTCATCTAGCAGACGATTCCCGCCCTCTTTTCAAGAGATGGCGCAAACAGTTTGGCGACATATTTAGGTAGGATATATTTCTGTGTGTTACAAATCTTCGTGCTTTTTAAAATTACCATTAATATTTATAATACCAGTTTAAGATTCTGACGAAAACGAGGACCGCCAACTGAACAAAGTTAGTTCCCCAGCCGAACTAGGTCACGTTCCATTGATACATTTTTTAGACTCGTCTGCTGTCCGGGAAATTACGTCTATTTTGTTTCCTTTCTGTCTTGTCTTGCATTTACGTTTTTCTTCCGAGAAAGAGAATGCCCATGACATAGGTTGCAGCACTCTCTAAGGTGTTGTTGGTTAGACCCAGTTTCTAAATATGTTTGCAGTGTTAAAATCGCTGGGGTGCTTAAACCAGCGATATAAAGTACCTTGTCGAACAACCCCTAACAGTGTGCGAAGGTCGGGTGGTTGGGGGTCGACCAATCAGAAATGAGCTAGTTTGTAACGTGGGGAGATTATCGTGGAACTGACCCTAATTGATTTAGCGTCAGTAGGAAAAATACAAGTGTTATGAGGGGAGATATGTTCAGCCAGAAAAGATCAACACATCAAGGATGAGTTGAAGCTAAGACGACATAGGCATGACCTAGTTTAGGTCAAGACTTAAGACTGACCGTCGCTGTAAACATGGTTGCCTCGGGGGCTTAAGTATCTTGATCGCACCCATATCAATCTTCCGCTTAGAATTGTATTTTAGGATGCATTACCCCGTTTTTTCAAATATACAAGTAATATGTTCTGGTATATTAAAAAAAAAGTAAAGGACCCTTTCCACGCCTTTAGGCGTATAGGGCATATAGGGCTAGACCTATATTTTTATAGACCAACGGCACAAGATGGGTGATGTTGTCAGCATCACGCCGGCCGCCTCTACTTCCTGGGATTGCACCGGTACCCACTCAAGGCTGGGTCGACCTGGGATCCAAGGTCATTTTTGAAGAAAAGTCCGTCTCTGCCAGGGAGCGAACCCACGACCTTCCGATCCGCGGCGAGCGTCTAGCCGCTCGGCCACGGCGACTCCCTCTGGTATATTAGTCACATAATAATAATCAGGATATCATCCGAATAACGGTCCCAAATTATAGAGGCCGAAAATATACGCTAACAGGGCATCAGTCACATGTAAATAGCGGACCTCTGACGACCTAAATTTCGGACTTCCGGCGACTACCACCACCGCCGAGGGTATCTTCCGCGCCGCTACGCGTGGCGCGGAGCAGAGATAAACTAGACGGCTGGGACTCACGAGCAGCAGCTACCGCATCTCCTGCAGCTTCTTTAATTTTATTTGCTCGTGAGCCCCAGCCATCTAGTTTAGCCCCACTCCGATGCGCGCGGCGCCGGAGATACTATTGGCAGTGTCGGCGGTCGGCCGGAAGTCTGCAATTTACATGTGACTGAGGCCCTGTTAGATTATATTTTCGGCTTTGATAATTTGGGACCGTTATTCAGAGGATAGCCTAATAATAATAATAATAATAATAATAATAATAATAATAATAATAATAATAATAATAATAGTGATAATAATAATAATGATAATAATAATAATAATAATTATAATAATAATGACAACAATCCACATGGATCACAAATCTTGATTTGCGAAGGAGGAAAGAAAACAAATTTACCGAGCATGTTCCTGCGACCAAGCCTGCGCTGACACACAACATCAACTGATTTGGAAAATTGAGAATAAAAGGGTAGCAAGTTAGAAAAAAAGGAAAGTCGTGGGTGGGTCAATCCAAGGAAATGAGTCAAGTACTCAGAATAGGAATATAGTAAAAAGGTAGAATTCAGTATATATTAGTAACTATCGTATACATATATGTCAACATTCCATACATATAAAAGAACATTATCAGCACTGATGTAGCTAGATAGTTACATATGGATAAGAAGATGTCACATTGTAACATTCTATATCTTTTTGGTTTTATTTAACAGTCTCAACATGGGCGGCACCCTGGTGGTTGTTCTCAACGGTTTTGATGTCATGAAGGAAGCTTTTGTCAAGAAAGCTGACGCCTTTTCAGACAGAACACCTGTCTTCTTTGATGCGGTATGTTACACTTTACACAAGTAAAGTTATTGTCATATCCTTTGAAGGATGTTGCAGAACCAGTCCTTGTCTTCTTCATCTTTGCGTTCGGTGTCGTATGCTCAGATCAGGTGGGTTGCCTCTTTGAACTCACATGTCAACAGCAGGTCCTTCATGGTTCCCCATAGCTTGCTCTTCTCACTTTGCTCTTGAGGCCAGGTGACTTTTCGAAGGTGTAGGTAGAGTGGGCAGGTCTGCAGAATGTGTTCAGGTGTTTGTGGTCCTGTCTGATAGACACACTGTGGTGACTGTAGTCTTTTTTTTTAAATTTTTTATTTAATGCAGTGTTTTGTTCTTTGACGGAAAATTGTTGTATGTTGCTTTCTATTGAGTCTACTAATGGGGTATTGTGGACGTTAGCAGTTAGTTTGTTCTCTTCACAATTCCTTGTATTTTTTCTTGACAAGTGTTTTAAAATTTCTAGAGAGCCAGTCAAAGCATTTGCTGGCTGTTAGGTTTAATTAAGTAATCTCTACGCTCAGTGTTTTGCCATTGTTCACTAAATCGTTGGCTTTTCACACCATTTTCAAGACTAGCTCAAAGTAATCTGCTGCAAAATCGCTTACAGCGGAGTCAAACTGTGTAAGTCAGATCTGAAATCTTTTCATATTCCATAGTTATGCATTTCAAACTGTACGATAGGCATGGCCAGTGAAGACACCTTTCATAAGAATGCCTAGCTGGTCATTTTCTTAGTACACCTTTTTTCATGGCGAGGCTATACGCTATTTAGAGGCGACAGGTTCCCTTCAGGGTAGTTATATGTTTCGATTGTTATTTTGTCTCGTGAGTCCTTCTATCTTTCTACTTCTTTCTATGAAGGCCAATCAATACATTGTCTATTTTTTAAAACTATATATACAGATTTGTGAAAGCCTAAACCACAGCGGCTGACCTTAGATTATTAGGATTAGAGAAGTTAGACCGCAATTAAAGCAGACTATATCATAGACTAATGAAAGAAGTCACATGTTCCTATTCTCTACATTTGGCGTCTGTCTGAGCATCGGTTGTTTGTTGTTTGTTTTAGTATCCAGAAGCCATGAGTTTTTAACTCTTAGGCTCGGTATTATGGATTCGCAACCTTTCGACCTTGATTCCATTGTGAATACTGTAAATCTGGGAGAAAATGTGGCTTTCCTGCCTACCCCCGAGATTGAACCCGGACCACAAGGAGTTCGTCACCCGGTCTCCGCGCAATCCGGTTTAGCCACCTACGCTAGAGAGCCGGGCCTGAGCATCGGTTAAAGCAGCGACATCTTCGCTTCAGCGACTGGGTTGCCCACTACCTGGCCAATAGACTACTTCGATGTCGGTTGGGGCAGTATTTGGGTCTGTCTACTGTGATCGCATAAAACACAGCAAGAGTTCTTTCCAGAGCTTTTTAGTGGTGAGCAAAACTATGCCATTCCATATGGCGCACATAAACTTTTCACAATTATAATCTAAAGCTCCCCCGTCGTTGAACTCAGCAGTCACCTTCATGCATGCTGGAAGCCGAATCAACACAGTTGCTGGCGAGATTACCAGCAAACTCATATGTTGGGACCTTGACTGAGTTGTGAGATTTCACAAAACTTTACCCGTTTTTCCAGGTCGCTCAAGTATCAAATGGGTTTCAGCAATTTTCTAAAAAAGTATAGGCGATCGGGCGTGATTTTGACCGCACCATCTTTTTAGCGTTTACCGAATTTAACTACGGCAAGAAGTTCTGACGTTTCGTTCACTTTTAGACTTTTCTGTTGTTCCAAAACTTTGCGTGACATTCGTTTTACAGATCGGGTATATTTGTACGCAGACTTTTGGTTCTTTGCCTTTAAGGCAGATTTGTTCTACATACAAAGTTTAGTGAGACGGTTTTGGTTCAAGAGAAAACTGTCACAGAAGATACCAAGTAGTCTACTATGGAGGTGATGGCGGTAACAAAAGCATTGATGCAGCTAGAGACACAGCAGTTTTCCCAAGCGTGCTGTCTAAGCGATTTTATGAGCATGCTGAAAAAATAGAGACAGAATGGATTCGAAGAAAATGGTTGAAGTCGCTGGGGAAATCTCAGTTGAAAGGAATTAGTGTCATTTCTGCGCCAGGACACCCTGGTGTAAGAGGGAATGAACGAGCAGATTGGCTTGCTGGCAGAGTCACGGTAAGTAAAGGAAAAGCAATGGGACTAGGCAGATATTCTCAACGTTCTCAAGGAGGCAGGTCCAGAAGATGATTCTGGAGACGACGTTTGTGACGTGACGGGTGGATTAAATGTTTATAATGTTGAGTAGGGATGTTCCTCTCAACACATTCCCTCCACCAGATTAACCGAACTAAAATCTGAGCTATGTTGCTCTCAGACAAAGTCCTGGATATCCAAGAAAACAGCCATATTGGCTCGTTAAGTACATTAACATTAGCTGAACTTGGTACCCACAAGAGGAGAAAAGGAATTTTAGATGTCTATAGCATTATACTTAATGAATTATTAGACAGGGCAAATGATTCCTCCGTCATCTACCTTCTCCCGGTGTTATTATGAATAATTAAAGAATTATTATATTATTTGAGCCCCCACCAAATGTTATTCTATCCTTGTTTAGTTAAACAGGTAAGACTGAATACACTTGGAATTTAACAAACGATGTAGTATAAAACTTGACAAACAGCTTTATTTACTAACAATTAGTTTATATGAACTTTCCAGTTTGTTGAGTTACACCAACAGTGACTGGCTACAGTTATAATAATGATATAGTGGTAAGCTTCAGCGAGAAAACAGCTCCGGGGTTTAGAGTGGTATGATGATGATGGTAATATGTTAACGTAAAGGGGTTAACTTAACTTATAAGCCTCTGACAGCCGTGAGGAACTGTCAAGCTTGTCCAACTCTTCCTTGCCTGTTTTCTGCCTGTTTCAGCTTATTCTCCACTTCATCCCCACCTCGGTCTCCACATCGTTCCCACCTCGTTCCCAGCTGGCCGAGTCTAACACAATGTAGTCTACTTCATGGACTGATCGTCACATGGGCGCTGTAATCATGGAAACAAAACACATACGTGTAGTATCTTGACTTACACTAAGAATACATGTATCAATTAATATAACATTGAATAATAAAATATATCCCATCACTCCTCCTCATATTCCACATCCTCTCCAGTCTAGTCTGAAGGTCTTTTGTCTTACATGGGCGTCACATATCCTGCCTTCCCTCACAAGCTATGTCATGATAGTTGACTTTCTAAGTCTGTTGTCCGTCTTTACTCAGACTTCCAATCATTGTTTTTCCATCAACACGTGGGGCAGGTTATGTGCTGAAACTCCAACCATTTTATATGTACATGCTGTCCTGAATATTATCTTTCAGTGACAGTAAATACTGCAAACCCATCATTCTTCCCCTGGGGTTATAAATCCCCTGTGTAGGTGAACACCTTAAGTGAGCACATGGTGGGCACACAAAACGTAACAGCATTCCTGCATATATTTGGGCATCATTTCCCACAGCCTCAACTAATATTTTGGCTGATCATGGAAACAATATAATTACATTTCATTATAGCAAATGTCATTATTCTCATCTTATTTTATACACATGAAAACATACACTGAAAAACATGTGACACAAACATACAAGAAATAGGAATAGTTTAGCAGTTCCCTAATTTGAGATACTGAATACTCACAAAGAACTATTTCAAGCAGAATGTGCAGACAAATTAGGAAAAGGTAGTATAGACTAAGCTTAACTCCCTAACCTAAGTATACAAGATTAAAATTAATATTCACCTGGGAACTTTCCAGCAAATGCCAAACACGACTCAACCAGTGAGAAAATACTTTTCTACGGTAAGACTGAGTCTGTGGCCTGCTGGCGGCACTATGAGGTAAATCTACAATGCTCCCAGTATAAGTATCAATCTATTGTCCAAATTAAACTCCTCCCTTTACTTAGCTCTACCTAACCCTCAAGACGATGACTTAAGCCACGCCTCTGAGGTAACGATCAGATCGAATTGGCTAACAAGTGGCCTGTCACTCAATTCTGGACTGACATCCCTAGAGCAAACAATCTTAAGTGACCCAATCTAGTTTACAACGAATCTAACTAGCCGGTGTTAAAAGACGTTCAGTGAAGCCATTGTGTTTCCTATTAGACCAAGATTAAACATTCCTAATTGCCAAACACCTGGTCTGCCAAGAATTACACTGACTTGCGAAACTCCAACCTCTCGTCGCCACAATGTCTAGAGTCCACTCAATTCCCCTGTTCAAAAGGGCCCCACTCAGTCTCTACAGTCTGGTCAGGAGATAAAATTCTGACACTGGCGTGAGAATCAAACCTAACATCCCTAGTCTGAACCAGCGGGCTGTATTACGTAGTGTTATGTAATTTTAAACAAAGCGCAGTGGCTTTGTCTCGGAGAAGGACTGGAAACATTTAAATCAATTTGGTTTAAAGTAATATTAGGGTAAAGGGCAGAGTAAATATAATCCTCTCTCTTTAGAACCAGAAGAACTTATTACAAGTACTAACTTCTGGAACCACTGAGATCGTTTCGTGACAACGTTGAATCGAAAACACGCAAAAGACAAGAACTTCAGGTTAAAAAAGGTGTCGCCAAACATGAACACTATACAGGTAGCCAAGGAAGATTAGTAAACCAACACAGAACTGACGGAATCAGTCGCCACACGCTAGGGGATATGCTGAAGATGGGATCCGAGCGATTACGGACTTCGCCGATGTGCAATGAGGATAATCTGTCGATTAACTAACTAATACTTTATATGATTTAAACATATAATTTGAATAGGCACCCTGCAAAATGTCGTGTCGAACGGAGATACCCGCTGTAGAAGAGACAGAAATAGACTAAAAATTATGTCGGATAATCAGTGACATAAATAAAATCACTAATCGATTTGATTTATGACATCAATTATCCAGATGCGGGGAGAAACTTTGGCTTTTTATCTTTAGCAAACCAAATGTACCGGTACTCACCATAAATTGTCGATAAAAAAAGGTGCCGGTACTCGCTAGAAATTGTAGATTACAATAATGTTGGAAACACGATAGCTTTGAAACGTTGTCGTACTGCTTACCGTTATGGACCGCCAAAAAAATATTGCTACGGGTAGGACATAAACGAATGTTGTTGCCAAGGCACATGCTGATGGTTCTGTTTATTGAAATATTATTGTAAAGAACTTAATTATTAAACAGAGTAAAGCATGCAAGAAACCTAAGCTATTTTCAGCAGTTGCCGTGGTGTAGTGGCCAAACGCTCGCCTGCGGTTTGGAAGGTAGTGGGTTTGGGTCCTACGGAAGCCGGACTTTTTTTTTCTTTTTCAGAAATGAGTTTGGCTCTAAGGTCGACCCAGCTTTGAGTGGGTACCAGGTGCAATCCTAAGAAGTAAAGGCGGCTGGCATAATTCTGACCACATAACACCACCGAGGGCTAATTGGTCTATAAAATATATGTCTCGCCGTATATGCCCAATGCTCCTATTGGCGTGGAAAAGTAGTCCTTTATTTGACTTTGTATCCTCTTTTCTCAGGCAACAGGCATTCCCGAGAAAGGAGTTGCGTTTTCTTCAGGTCCGGAATGGAAAGAGCAAAGGTCTGTTGCCTTGACGATCCTGAGAAAGTTCGGAATGGGCAAAAACATCCTGGTAGATAAAATTCAAGACGTAGTATCAGCTTATGTGGACTATCTGGCAAGTCAGAAGGGACAACCTACAGACATTCGAACCATGACCAACATTAGTACGTGCAATGTCATTTGCGCTATAATAATTGGTCATAAATTTGAGTTTAACGATAAAGAGTTTCAAAAGCTGATAGCGCATTTGAATTCAACGGCCCTAGATCAGAAAAATGTCAGTTTAATTAACTACATTTCCTGGTTAAAATACTTACCAGGGGACCTGTTCTTCGCAAAGAAAATTACGCTTAACGTGCAGGTTGTTTTGAGTTTGTTAAAGAAATTTGTTGCTGCAAATAGACGCACGGTTGTGGATTTTAACGATGCTGGGAACTTTATTGAAGCATATTTGGCTGAAAGAAACAAGAAAGTACAAGCTGGGGTTTCCACGTATATGGACGATGAGAACTTATTAAAAACTATTCACGAATTATTTGGTGCAGGAACGGAGACCACAAGTACCACTATAATTTGGTGTGTTCTGTACATGATTAATTATCCAGAAATGCAAGAAAAGGTGTATGCAGAGATCATGGAGGAAGTCGGATCTAGCAGACTGCCAAATATGCAGGACAAAACCAAGCTGCCCTATCTTAATGCGGTAATCATGGAAACCCAACGACTGGCCAGTATTGTTCCACTGTCTTTGCTTCACTTGTGTTCAGAAAACGTGACACTGAAAGGCTATACCATACCCAAGGGAACATGGATCATCCCAAATCTGGACTCGGTTTTACATGACAAGGCCATCTGGGGGAAAGACGCCATGTCTTTTAAGCCTGAGAGGTTCCTAGATTCTACAGGTAAAGTGCAGGATCGAGAGGAACTGATCCCATTCGGCATTGGCAGGCGGGTTTGTCTGGGCGAGGCCTTGGCTAACATGGAGCTGTTTTTGTTTTTATCTAATATGTTTCAACGGTTTCAGTTTTTGCCGAAAGATAAAACTCCCCCCAGTTGCAATGTTTACCGCTTTGGACTCACCTGTGCCCCTTACCCGTTTGAAGTCAGAATACTTCCACGAAAACAACAGGAATGAGGTCAAGGACAGAAAATCAGAATGACTACCAAGAGCCCAATATGTCATTTCTGATTGATGTATAAGGAAAGGATAAATTTTATCGTTAATTAATCAGTTATATGTCACATACAAGAGTACAGCGGCGTCCGTGGCTAAGGCGTTGCGAGTCTGACTCGTAATCCAACATACCGCGATCGAAACCCACTGCGGGCTGCGTGGATTTTTATCGTGGTATGGGACGTCGCAGGTCGACCCAACCTCAAATGGGAACCAGGATGGGCTGTCCTGGGAAAGTAAAGACGGCCGGCGTAATGCTGACCACATTACCCACCGAGTGCCGATGGATCTGTAAAAATATGGTTGCTCTTCCCATATGCCTGATGCGCCTAAAGGCATGTAAAGGGATCTTTACTTTACTTTACTTAAAAGAGTACAGATACGTGCTTCAGTCACATTATGTCACACACCAGTGTCATTTTAGATTAGAGCACGCATTCTGTGACATGTGCCAAACGTCAGAAACCGCAGTGTATAGTTTTTAGTACAAATTCACCGGCAATTGAATATTCCTAAGACTGGAGACTGCTTTGGTTGCTGAAAAGGCAAACTTTTAACTACAACAACAACAACTATAATACAATTTCAACAGTGTGCTCTAATTTGAATATCCACGCTATTCGTTGGGTTCACATTCTGGATAGGAACGATCGATAGCTTCTCCCGCCATAATCCCGCATGAAAGTTTATCTATTTAAAACAATTTTTGAAAAAGAATCTTAATTTAGATAGCAGATCACCAGGACAGATCAGAAACCCCGTTTAACCTCCAGAAAAGTTATAATTTGAACACAGGTAACAGCCACTTGAGCCCAGAATATACTTCAGTTTTTGCGGAGGAAGACGTGGATAGGAATGGGCGTTTTCAAGGCTTACATGTTGCAGAGAATACACCATAGTCTCAGCTGCATTGGTGGCCTAGTGAGTTTACTTTGAGGTTGTCATTCATCTTTCCCAGGTTTTCTTAAAACTGTTCATACATTATGTCTTTCAATCGGTGAAGTTTTCAGATACTGTGGTTAAACTAATGTATACTCTCCTTCTTTACCTGCGTAACAAACTGGTGTGGGTTAGCACACCTTATCGCCCCTTCGCTGGCAGATGTAACCTATCAGCTCGAGTAGCTCTTGTGTTCTCAGGTCTATTGCTACGACCTCCTTGCCGGCCACGTCGGAGAAGGAGCGAAGACTAAATTTCGGTGTGAATATCAAACTAAAATATTATCAAAAACAAGGACGAATTTCAAAAGGACAAATAATGGCACAGAGGAATAGTTTCACACTGTAATTAATCAATCTTGGAAAAATATTTAAATATTATTAGCATTTTCTTTTATTGTCACGAATTATTATTATTATTACTACTACTATTATTATTACTATTATTATTACTATTATTTGGCTGTTGAAATACAAGTTTTAAAGACTGTGTGTGTGTGTGTGTGTATGTGTGTGTGTGTGTGTGTGTGTGTGTGTGTGTGTGTGTGTGTGTGTGTGTGGTGTACCGGTATGTTTATTATAGATTATTTTGAACTTTTGATTTCTAAATAATTAATCACATTAATTGTTATAGAAACATTGAAAGTTGATGGGAAAGGCTTATGTGTTTGCCATTACCCACAGAGTGCCGAGTCGTCTAGACATATTAACCCAGCATATTAAACCAAGCAGTCCTCATTAGTTAAAACGGATTTTTACCCTTTCCTTTAAGTATACGTTTTATATATAGCAAGAAAAGGTCACTGATTTTCTAGTTCCCTAACGGCTGATTGTAAAAGAAACCAGCAGGAAAGTTAGCCTGCTCTAGTGGTCTGTCATTCTGGTCTCATTTCAAACTACATGTAGCCCCATAGAACAGTGATCTTCAATCCTGGGGTCCGCAGGTCGGTGGCGGCCTATGGAAATGTGCTAGCCATCTACCAGCAATACCAGCCCCCCCCCCCCCCCTCCCCCAAGTCATGTTACGGGTACAGTTAAAACCAAACGGAGAAATCGAATGGATGATGCCGCAGCGCTTGTTCTCTCAGAGTTAACACTTTAACTATGTAGGCCATATTTTCTCATCTTTAAGCAGCAGATATCATATTATCTAAAAATTCCAAAACAGTTAGATTGTATTTATTAAAAGTAATGCTGTCTACATTCGTATTTGTTTCTGTACTGACCATCTGTGAGTCTGTAAAATATTTATGTTGTATTCCCAATCTGCAGGTTTATTAAGGCTGTAGGAAATTGTCGTGGAATATGCACGTAGAATATATACGAAGAATATATACACAGAATATAAAAGTAGAATATATACGTAGAAGATGTACGTAGAATATATTCTTCGTACATATATATATATATATATATATATATATATATATATATATATATATATATATATATATATATATATATATATATACATAGAATATGCACGTAGAATATGCACGTAGAATATTTACGTAGGATATATACGTAGAATATATACGTAGAAAGCACATGTAAAATGTACCCGTAGAACATATAAGTGGAATAAATACATTGAATACATACTTCAGTATGAAATGTAGCATCAACACAGCTTGTTTTGTAGATTTTACAGAAAAGTACTGTGATTTAAAAAAAAAACAAAAGGAATGTTTTGAAGGGGCGAATGTAAGAGAAGCATGTATGCCCCTTTTGTGATCTTAAAAAAAATCGTTCGTTCATGCGGCCTTGTCCGAAACACACACACACATACACACACACACACACATACATACACACACAAAACAAAAAAATGCAAGTTCTTGGTGTCGAATCGGTACATCAGTCTGACAAACTGCCTTCGAAGAATATATTCTATGGTACGCTGCAAGAATTCTTGGAAAGAGAGAAGTTTCTACCAAGAGGCCTGGAAAGCTACAGTCCAGGAAAGGACACATGGACAAGTGCGGCCACTTTTGCTTTTGACGTCAATGAAGGGTTCCAGAAAAGACATGAAAATATGGCGGTAGCACTGGATCTCGAGGATGCTTATAACAGAGTAAAATACGACATTTTGATAACTGCTCTAAAAGAGAAGAGGGTCAGTCCATTGCTGGTAAACTGGATTGCATCTGTCCTGTATTCATGTCGGGTTGCTCTTTGACTAGGCTCAATGACCTCAGAACCATGCAGTTTGGCCCTATGACGGCAACAGGGATCCGCCATCTCGCCTGTACTCTTTAACGTGTATACAAGCAAGATTGCAAGCCTAGAAGCACAAGGAGTTGGAAGGATACTGACTTTTGGGGATGATATACTTGCATATAGGCAGGGGGAAGAGAAGGAACAAACAGCCAGGGAGCTACAAGCGACAAAAGACAAAGTGACTGAGTTGTGTGCAGAAATGAGGGCTGTCGTCCACCCGGAAAAGGGGTCTGTTTTGTGGTGTTCTCTGGACAACAGAATCGTTAAAGCTAATGTCCCAAGTCTCACGATAGATGGTGGAAACATCAACAGAGAGAGCAAACTGAAGTATCTGGGAATTACATTTCACAGGAGCCTGTCCTTTATGGACAATGTGGAGAGTGTTGTGATGAGATGCCAAAAAGGACTTAGTGCACTAAAGACTATGGCTGCAATTGACATAGAGCAGACAATGCTTTTCACACTATATCAGCACCTGATCATGTCAGTGGTTGATTATGGCCTGGGTAGGCTTACGGTCTCAAAGAGTCAGATGGACACACTAGAGCGCAAACAGAACGCAGCTTTGCGGGTCGTTCTGGGTTGCACCAGAGACACCCTAGTGGTGTGTATGCGATACATCCTTTGTTTGCCGACTGTTACAGGTAGGCACAAGGTGCTGCAGGTAAAGACATCTCAGGGTAGCTGCAGATACAGACCGCCCTTTGCACGAAGCTCTGGGAGTGGGTCAAAGTGCCACCTGAACAGTCAGACTTGTGTAGGGTCATAATCACGCTGAGCCGGGAATGCAGAGACTGGCCAGCAGGTGCCACAGGGGTGGAAATTCAGCAATGAATTCAAGATAATGTTCGCTCCGAAGATTTGATTACTTACACAGACGGTTCTGTGTCAAGAGGCAAAAGAAGTGCTTGAGGCTTTTTAGGAAGAGTTAATGGTCGACGTTTGGTGAAGGAAAGCCTAGCATATGAAACCACAACATCCAGCTTAAGAATGGTGGTGGAGGCGGTCACTGAATCTTTCCGCTGGCTAGAGAACATGACATACACACACACACACACATCGTGATTGTAACTGACCCAGAAAGCACGTTGAGGAAGATCAGGACAGGCATGCTTTGTGCAGAGTGGTATGCCTCGCTGCAGAGGACACGGGTGAGGAGTATTGTCTGGAATCTTTCTCCCTAGAGGACGCCGGTGTGTTGCGAAATGAAGAGGCGGACAGACTGGCTGGCTTTGCACAGCTTGGTGGAATACTGATGCATGATAAGGTAGACGTGGTTAGTGCCTTGTAGGAGAGCGTGTACAGCTCAGAGGAGCAGATGGATCACCAGTCCTGTGATTTTGACGCGGGGGAGGGGGGTGACCAGAAGCTCTATCAGATGCTCGAGGCTCAGAGGAAAGGCAAGACGGGCGTTTAATGAGAATGCTACTGGCACCATTTGTATCGGAACTCTTCACTGGCTGTCGAAGATGGGGACGGAGCGTTTATGGGAATGCTCCGAGTGCTGTGATGTCGGTTCTTGAATCAAATCCAATCAAATCATGGTAAGCTTTATTCAGGCAATGAAACACATTGTTGATCCATTGTTGATCCATTGTTGATCCATTGTTGATCCATTGTTGATCCATTGTTGATCTATTGTTGATCCATTGTTGATCCATTGTTGATCCATTGTTGATCCATTGTTGATCTATTGTTGATCCATTGTTGATCCATTGTTGATCACAAATATAATACAAAGGTATGTTGCAATGCTATTTGTAGCGATGACCATGACAACTGGGTAACATCGCTGTTTCTCTT